GTTTACGTAAACAACATCTTAACTAATATATGTTGTTTACGTAAACAACATCTTAACTAATATATGTTATTGCGAACAATATTACCTACAGCCCCAGTGGTCGAGCTGGTTAAGACGCCCGCACGGATTGAGGGAGGTCCCAGGTTCGAATCCTGGTTGGGGTAATATTTTTCGCAATAAGAATTTTAATTGCCAGATACGGTCAATAAAAATCATTGATGATTAATTATTAGTTTGCTAATAAGTGGACAGTACTAGTAACTAATTAAACGACCAACTTTCCGTAACATAAATTATGTGCAACTCTGAATGAATGCGAGAACGAACGGTAAAATTAAATGCAGTTGTCAGACATATGGGAAGTAACTGGATGAGACTGCTGATACGAGGATGTTTTCGAGCGAGTTTTTCTTAGATCAATCGAGGAGCAATAGTATCCATTTAAGTGCGGATTGAACTTTGTACTTGGGACGGAAAGGAAACCGTTTAAAGGGAGAGACTGAAGAGAAAGCGTTATCACATCGAACAGCAAAAGACCGGATCTATAAGGATCGTTTAATCGGAAGATTGAATTATAGCTCGTGCAAGGCGCAATTTCGAGCTTCTTCTCGCGGATGGAGAATTAGCTCTCGTTATATCCGTTTGCAACAGTGTTCGGCGAGCGCGAGTGGTAAAAGTGGATCATTGTAACCCGTCCATCAAGTTCGCGCGATAATATCCACACGATAGTGCGCTCGCTTCTCTCGTCGGCGATAGAGACCTTTCGCGGTAACGCGTTTCGTTACGGTAAACCATAAATATTGAGTTAAGTGGCAAACAACCGCGTGGCGGTTGCAAAACCGAAGATTCTTCGTGTCTATCAGCAATTAAATATGCACGGAATACGAGAGTTGATAATTCCGCATGCACATTACTGCAAAAAAAACTTATTAATGCCACGCGATATTGCAATCACCATTCTCTCAGGTTATAGCTAGAAAACCTTGCATAGATGCATAAGGAACCTAATTGGGCCATAAGTGCATAGAGAAGTAGACGAATTAATTTTTTTATGCATATGCTTATGCACCTATGCAAATTTGTCCGGAAAGATCCTCATGGTATACTCTTGGATAGAAACGATATCGCGTTTACGGTATTGCGCTTTAGGTGTCGTGATAGGATAGAAAGTTGGATCCGCGAGCGCTCGGCGAATATAGCACGTCGTGGAACGCGCGTGTTCCCGTTGTATGCGGTCAGGCCCCTTCGTTTACTATTTCCTCCCGATGTCTCACTTTCGTTTCGCGAGTCGTTTAAGAATCGCGCACTCACGGGGAATTATAAGCAATTGTCGTCGGTTTAATAGCTCTCCAAAGCGCTCAGGGCCCTCGAAATTACGAAACAAGTAAAAGTCTTTACACATTTTCTTTTTAAGTACCTCTGTCAGCATTCCTACCCTAGTAGCACAGTGCATTGGCTAAACATTGGCTAAATATCGACCCAATGTTAGAAATGCATTGGCCGATATTGTCCAACGTAAAGCCAATGTTGGAATAAATGTAAATATTGCACGATAAGAACTATATAATGTTAAATTTATATCGGAAGTGCGTTGGCCAATATTTAACAATGTAATAAAAATATATTGGCTAAATAAGAGGAGGCGTTCATCTTACAATATTGGGAATGACCTCATTTACATTATTTTCCAATATTGCGCCAATACATTGTGCTACTAGGATACGTTTGTTGAAGTTGACAAAAGGCTCCTCTGTCTCTTTCTGCGAGTTGAATTATGTAAGTTTACTTAACCGGAAGTTAATCAAACTTCTTGTGTAATTTACAGCCTATGCGTGATAGAAGCTAAATAAGGTGGAGTATAAGAGAAGTAAATAAGAGAAAAAAGTCTAGATGCAATTGATTTTAAATGTATATGTATATTAAAAATATGTGGTTGCCTCAAAATCAATTTGATTATAATGCAACAGTTGACATTATTAAGATACTGAATATTAAATAAAATTTTAAGAACATCAATGATTTTTATTGACCGTATCTGACAATTAAAATTCTTATTGCGAAAAATATATAAAATATATAAAAAACCAGGCTGGGGTTAAAACCTGGTTAGGGTAATATTTTTCGCAATAAGAATTTTAATTGCCAGATACGGTCAATAAAAATCATTGATGTTCTTAAAATTTTATTTAATATTCAGTATCTTAATAATGTCAACTGTTGCATTATAATCAAATTGATTTTGAGGCAACCACATATTTTTAATACCCATATACATTTAAAATCAATTGCATCTAAACAAATTTTTTCCTAGTTGGGGTAATATTTTTCGCAATAAGAATTTTAATTGCCAGATACGGTCAATAAAAATCATTGATGTTGTTAATTACTGCTGGCGACTTTTAAGAGTATTCTTAATAATTAAAAATTTTAAGCTTATTACGGATGCAATATTTGAATTTTTCGTACTCGTTTCTGCACTGTAGAAAAAAAATGAAATTAAAATCAATCTTCTCCTGTGTTCATATTTTTTTTACACTGAAGGTTACACCTACACATAGCACAACTTTCAGTAATAATTATACATATGTTAAATATATTGCTTATGTGAGATTAAATTCAATAATCGCGCGTGCAACGTCCGTATTTTTATTTTAAAAAACAGTAGCGAGAGGAGGAAATATTGTCATTTTAAATAATTTTAATGCTTTATATATCTAATACTTGTCACGTTAACATAATTCTCTATCCGACTACACTTGTAACATGTGAATGCTCTACGATGCGACGCTTTCTCTTTACGCTCCATATCGTATTAACTGTTAGCGCGAACCGGAATAATTTAACCATGATTCCTGATTTGATTTTCTCATCTTATGTTTGTTATTCTCATATCTTTTATGTAGCAAACATGTTATTCTTTATTGTATCAGTGATTCACTGTTACAAATTAAGTAAAAATATCTAATGCCTGTAAGAATCGATATACTCGATTTTATACGAAAATGCAATAATTGAACAAATTTGAAGTTACGATGGCGTGCGTGCTATTCAGGTAATCGAATATCAGCTGTTTAATTAAATATTTAATCAGCCAGCCTCGATTGATTTATTATACGTTTCCGTGATGTTATGGATGTTATTTTATGATATTACTACGAGTGTTTTTGAACCGGGACGTGAGATCCATCGAAGTGGGTTATCTAACCCGAATTACTTTTCAGATGATGGTGACGGAAGGCCAGCAGAAGAAATATGACGAGTATAAGTGTACCCTGGACGCAGACACGCTGGAAACGGCTAGGTTGGAGCTGCGCGAGGATGACAATACGAGGGAACAGGCGCTGGAGCAATTTCGCCACTGGATCGAGAAACATCCCGCGATCAAGCAATGCAGGACTGACGCGTTGTTCCTGCTGAGATTCCTCAGGACGAAGAAGTTCAGCCTGCCGATGGCGCAGGAGATGCTGGAACGCTATCTCACCGTTAGGCAACTCTATCCTCACTGGTTCCAGAAGCTCGACGTCGACGACCCGGAACTCGAGGCCATCATCGATGACGGCTATCTGGTACCGATGCTGAAGCGAGATCGGCACGGTCGAAAGGTGATAATGTCGTGTGCAGGTAACGATCCTAAAAACAATGATAAAAGTTTGAGGATTAATTTAAGACGCGCTTAAACGACGTCCGATTAAATTCCCTGTTTAAAATAACAGGATGCGATCAGGTACATTAGATTACAGGTGCAATTTCAATGTAAATTAATAAAACTCTTATTTACATTCAAATTGCATGTAATCTAATGTAATCTGAGCATATTCTATCTATCATTTTAAACAGGGTTGTCTCTCGCTCGCGCTAATCAGAATTATTCTTTTCTATATTTAGCAAAGTCTTCAAGCACTTAGGTGCGATATTCAATTATTGAACACACAATAGTTTATTTTCACGTTTCCAATCACTGGCATTTAATTCATCGGGCATTGAAACACCCAACTTCGCCACAAAGTATTCTTTATTACAGCCTGCACGATATTATTATTACATTTCCACTTTGTACCCTAGTAGCACAGTGCATTGACTAAACATTGGCCCAATACAACCAAATATTGGACCAATGCAAAGTTTGGTCAATGCACTGTGCCACTAGGGTAGCTTCAAGCAACTGGTCAAGCATATTAGATATTTACTCTACTTGATCTCTTCCGTTTTTAAGGGCGTTTCGACGCTAGCAAATATTCATCAGCGCATCTGGCTCGAATCCACGCTATAGTGCTGGAAGCCTTGTGCGACGATGAAAAAAATCAGGTCTGCGGCTACACGTATCTCAACGACGAGTCAGGATTGACCATGAACCATTTCAGCACGTGGTCCTTCACGGACATTCGCAATTTGATAAGGTGCGTACAGAACAGCGCGCCTGCACGTCACAAGGAGACGCATCTCATTAATATTCCCAACGCCGTGGCGAAGATCCTCGAATTCGGCATCTCTCTACTAAGCGACAAACTTAAGTCCCGCATTTGGGTAAATATCACCAAGTGGCAAATGTCATTATGATAAATGCATTGTGATTAATTCCTGTAAATTTACAAATAAATATCCGGCAAATCGTCCGATAATGTTGATAGATACACAGAAACATAGAGGAGCTGAAAGAGGCGGTGGACCCGAAGATACTGCCAAAGGAATATGGCGGAGAGGTCCCGCTCTCGGAGATGATCGGTACGAGAAATGATCCACCCCGCAGTTCTTTCTCACATCTCGAATAAACTAACATTGCTTCGTCTATTTTTCAGACGAATTTAAAAAGGAGCTGAAGAAGATAAAAAATGAACTCAAGGCTCTCGACGACCTTCACATTGAAATATCACCGAAAGATTATCAGGAGGCTAACGAAGAGTTTGGTGGAATATGCGGCTCGTTTCGAAAGTTGGAGGTCGACTAAGAGCAATTTATCTCTGTTGCGATCTTACAACCTTATAACCACTTCACTTGAACAGTCCTTTCCGTATCATGTGATTACACGTTGTATTAATGAACGATTGTTTTACCAAAAAGAACCGTAGAAATATATATGCAATAGGGAGCAAGTTAAACGAACGTACGAGCGATTTATGAACGCACTTAGTTCATAAATCGACAATCTTAGTTCATTGATTTCACTAGTTATTCTTTGCTGCTTCTCTAGATTCTGTTTATAGTGTAAGAATCTATCCGGATGAACTTGCATAAGTGCATAAGCATATGCATAAAGAAATTGATTGGTTTATTCCCTTATGCATGCACTTATGGTCTAATCAGATTCCTTATGTTGCATGTTTACGTGCTATGCAAGTTTGTCTGGCTAGACCTTAAACGATAACAAAAAATTTAATTAATTATGGGTAACGTTAAGTAATGTTGTGGTACAATCGGGTCTTGTATACGAGACAGGAGAATTTACTTTGATATAACAATACCTCGAAGTGTGTGAATCGTATCCGTTAAATCTTGTACATAAGCTTTCTCTAACAATTAAGATACTGTAACGCATACGAGTTGATGCTCGTTCCGTCGGTGGTACCAAGTTACCTATGATTTATAAGTTATTATCTTGACTACTTTAAGATAATTTGCAGCTTGACACGCCCTTAAGTTCACTTTAAACGACCTATAATTCGCGTCGGATTTTAGGATGCAATGTGTTCTCATCTATATTTTATGCTGTATTCTAATTCTTTCCTTTCTAAATTCTCATATAAGTTGTATACGATTGTTGTAGACCGTTTAAAACGGACTTAATCGGTCCTCGCCGTTGCAACAGGACGTGTTTACTGACAAAACATAATTAAGTCATCGTAATGAACAAATGTTTGATACGCTGGAATTAGAAAACAAAGTTGTTAGGTAAATATATGAAAAGTTAAGTTTGGAATTAGTTTGTAATATAACATTTGTGTTACATAATGTTGTGTTATAGTATTATGTTCAATGCGTAATGAAATTTTGCAACTTGATAAAAGATTTGCCCATGAATTCACAAAGCGTAATTACATATAATAATTATCTAGATGTTTTAGATTAGTTTATAATCATATTCGAATTGTGAATTGTTGCTCGAATCAATATTGCGGTTTGTACTCTCGTATGTGCGTTTAACACATACCAGATGCAAAACGTGACTATGTAATTCTGATTTGATTTCTCTAACATGTAGAGTGATGGTGTTTACAGAAGGTAGGTTACACTTTGTGGTGAATACGCAAGCTTGAATATTTTATATACGATTTGTTTGATGTTGGCTTGTGAAGGGGAAATAACGATGTGTAATAGAAATAACACTTTATAAGCAATTTCATCACTTTATATTTTCTAAATAAAAAAATATTATTTTGCCTAGGACTACTGAGAAAGGATTCTTCAAATAAGAGGTCTGAAATCTAAAATTTATTTAGATTTCAGACCTCTTTTTTTTTACGTTAGTAACAACGTAATGTATTGATTCTTCTTTACTAGATAAATGTTGGATACTTTACGGGCAGTAGAAGAAATCGAGCGTACTCCGTCCGTACTTTATTGAGGATGTATCAATATGTAGCCATCGTAACGCGAAGCCAAATTTGGTGACGAGTCACGCTTGCCTTATAACCGAACACCTGAATTGATCACAGGTACGTGAGGGACTTATTAAAACTTCAACGGCTTCAATGACAGAATCACACAAGTAAACTACAGTCTTTTCTTTGTATGTACACATATTTATTGATCTTCGTTATCAACGTTTATTATTTGTTTTAAAAACTCTGTACTCGCTGGTGCTGTGGTATATAGACTTCCTGAAATGGAGAAACGTCGCAATGTAAAAATCTCGCGCCATATTCTAAATGTCTCCACATACACAGATATTCGTATCTCGACAGTGGCAGATTGTTGTCAATCGCGTACGCATTACATATAGCCATGCACAGTCGCTTACGCACCGATAAAATTTTGTAGACTATTATCCGACACAATAATCCGGCAGTTGTTCCTCTGCTGCACTTTAAATCCTACGCAGCGAAATCGTTCGTCGGTCTCGTAGAGATTGGCGCCCTTCCGTGGACTTAAATAGGGTTGTCCGCTGAAGGGATTAATAAAGTCCGCCCAGTAACCGACCATTTTGAGCTTTGTACATATGTCGGAGGCTGCTAAAACAAACTAATAAGCTAACAATGTACAAAAGCGTATACCAATACATTTAGACCAGCGATATATATATTTATTATATATTTAGACCTGCGAGCAAGAGGGCAAGACTACTATAGAGTCGAACTTGCAAAAGTACTACCACGCCATATATAACTTACATATTTGGCGAGTTTCTCCGTCTCCGCTTCCTTACGCCATCTCATCGACTTGGCATTTGCCTTCTGACTAATAGTTATAATAGTGAGGTGTGACATTGTCACGTCTAAGCATCCCGGGAACAGCTCCTCTATGCTTTTCCGCAGGAGAATAGGACATTCCTGTGCCATGCACTCCAGCGTCGGCCGTATGGCCTTCCAATTTTCTACGTTCCTTCGGTACCTGTTGTTCAGGGAATCCATCAATTCCTCTTCGTCGAACAATTTGACAAACTGAGTCTTGACTTGGGCTGTGGTAGCAGCGTCTAGCCAGGCGGGTCCCACGCCTCCAGGAAGGTAGAACCTGAAGCCTCTCGGCGTCAACAACTCCCAGTTGGAGTTGATACCCAAAACGCTGTTGTCGATATCTGTTTTGTTTTCAAACAAAATATTCGATGAGCTACGAACACAATTCAACACGTATATTTTATACAAGAACATACTTTCGATGGCTCGGATAGAATTCAAGATTGAATCGGCGCGGTTCTAAAGGTTTCGCAGTAGGCGTAAGATCTAGCCACGAGTCGTTTGTGGCCACCACGTTTACATTGAAAAAGACACTGCGTATAATTAGACGCTGGACAGAGAAAAGGATGAAAAGAACAGAGTTCAACCACGGAAGGGAAAAAAAAGCTTGCACACAAGTAACGGCATTAAGAGGTTATGACCCGATAATTAATCTAGACGCTATTTATCGTGTCGCTTAGCAATCGCCACGTACGAGTGGCTCCGGTATTTTTAACTCTTTTTCCTAAAACGCACGTTTAGCCGCAATTAAAATGAACCTTGGCACGTGCGCGATCTACAAACTTCGCTCGACGGATTGGCGTCCGAGGGGCAGACTTGCAAAGAAACAAAAGAAAAAAAGAAGCTGAAACCGACGCGGGCGGCTGAGAAGCTTCGGAGAAGAGTGCGGAGTCGTCGTCGCGGCGGCGTGACGCCGCGTTTTTCCGCCGACGGCACGACGAAGGTCGGCGAGGTTACGCACCGTCCAGGGAGTCGCCATTGGACTTGATGATCTTGTAGGAACTCGTGCTCCGGTCGCTGCGACGCGAATAGAGAGCCCGCGGGATCAGGTTGAACAGCAACGGGACGCCGTGCCGCCTCCCATGTCTTACGCAGAGCATCTGGAAGCAGCGCGTCGGAGGTTACATTCGCGAGTTGATCGGCAAAGACGGGGGAGCCGAGCGCCGCGTTCGTGTTACCATTGCGAACAGCGGTGCGTATCATTTGGCGGGGTGGCGCGAGGCAGCGAGGGCGCAGCTCACATTTGGGAGATTTCGACCCATACAGCGAGAGGAAGGTTCGCACGCTCGGGGGAGGAAAATATACAGCACCTATGTCCGTACTTTTTATTTGTCACATATCGCTTGACGTGCGAGAGTATCGTCGCGCGTCGGGTGCCGCCACCTGCCGGCCGCGCGCGGCACTAAGCCTCGATCGCTCGCGCGATCCGTCGAGCGCGGGATTCCGCCGCGCTTCCTTCCCGCGCGTTTCCTCCTCGCGAAATCGCGGAAAACCGGGCGGCGCGTACGTGAATCGCGTCGATCGAGACTCCCTCGGGGCCCGCCGCGTTTCCGCGCGCGTCTCTTTCGTTTCTCCCGCGCTCGGGTTGTCCTCGTATCGCTGCTATCGAACGCCGCGGGCGCTCGATCTACGATTCACTTCGAACCGCGGCTAGGTTCACGACGAGTAGCGTAGTCGCTCCAGCGCAGAGTCGTCCGGCGTCGGTTCTTCCTCGCGGCTTCTTCGGCGAGAAGAAGTGAGTATTCCCCGCGCGAGAAGCCGTTCGTCGTAACGCGAGCACCGCGCGCGATCGCCGCTAGCCGCCGGTACCGCGGTTTCCGTCTCGATTCTGTCGGGGCTCGGGAGATCGATCGAAATCGCCGTCGCGCACCGAGTCGACCCCTCGGCGCGACAGCGCAATGGCGGCGGCGATGAGCGCGCGATCACCGTTAGGTACGTATACGTTACCATTTCTTGGGCTGACGGCGGAGAACGAACCGCAAACGCTTAGGCGCCTGGGCGGAAAGATAGTCGTAAGACTCGAGTCGACGTCGAAAGCCAACGCGCGAAGAATTGTCGCGTTCACTTTCGACGTACGTCGATCGCTTCCCGCGCATTTTGTCGCGAGGCGACATACGACGATTCTCTGTGCGCTGACTTTCGTCTTCTTCGTCTTCTTACGACGGAATTCGTAAGCGGTTGCGACAATCTTTCTGCTCGAGGGCTAAGGCCTGCTTAGGACCTTTATGCGACGTCGTACACGTCGCTGTCGGATGTCGGGACGTAGCCGATGGTCGACGAGGCCTGTTCTTACAATCTTTGGTAGCCAGCTTAGGCAGTCTCTTGTCGTCATTTTGACGTCGAAATGTCATCAGAAATGTCATTTTGACGTCGAAGCGACGACAAGTGCCGTTAGCTGGCTAACGCGGGGTCTACAATGCGAGTCGCGGAGTCGTAGTCGTAAGAAGAATCGACTGCGATTGGTCAATTCCGTTGGACACATAAGACCGATCATAGTCGATTATTCTTACGACTACGACTCCGCGACTCGCACTGTAGACCCCGCATTAGGCCTGTTATACAATACGTCGTATATCGCTGTCGGATATCGAGACGTAGCCGATGACTCAATAAGAAAATTTCTTTCAAAAGAAATTTTCTTATTGGGCTATCGGCTACGTCCCGACATGCGACAGCGACATACGACGTATTGTACAACGGGCCCGAGGGTCAGCGCACAAAGAAACGTAACAGCTTACGACAAGGACGTAATCGTGAACGTAGATAGCGCACAAGCTTTGGCGTATGTCGTACTTACCCTCCACTTACGTACGACGTTACTTTTACGCCGCAGCTTGTGCGCGATCCACGTTTACGCCTACGCCTTGGTCGTAAGCTATTACGTTGCTTTGTATTCTGACCCTAAGACTGTCTTCCCTGGTAGCACAGTGCACTGGCTAAACATTGGGTAAATATTAGTTATATTAGAAATGCATTGGCCGATATTGTCCAACGTAAAGCCAATATTGGCCATGGAATAAATGTGAATATTGCACGACAATAATTATATAATGTTAGATTCATATTGGAAGTGCATTGGCCAATATTTAACAATGCGATAACAATGGCGGACCAATATTGGCTAAATAAGAAAAGGCGCCCATCTTACAATATTGGACCGATATTGGGAATATTAGATTTACATTATTTCCTAATACCGCGCCAATATATTGTACTGCTGGGGTTAGTCGTAGACGTAAGGCAAGGCAGAGAAAAACGTAAGTCATATACATTAGCCTTTCACGACTCACCTGTTTCTCTTTCCAGGGAGAAATAATTTGTCGAAACGACGTCGACGTCAAATTCGACGTCGATCCGACGTCAATTGGACGGTGTCGACGTCGACGTCGTCTCGACATCAATCGACGAGTCGTTCCTCGCTGGGTTGCCTTGCGTCTGCGACTAAGACAATCTTAAACGTTTACGGATCGTTCTCTGCCGCCGGTCTCACATTGTTTCTCTTTGCGCTGCGTTTGTATTATTTGTTATTGCCGAGAGCAATATTTCCGAGTGGACGTTGGTAAAGTTGCGCGCTTTAATCGAGCTTTACACTTGATCAGCGATAACAAGCAACAACGAGATTGAAAAGCAAAGCGGAAAAACGAGGGAAATTGATCCCGTCGAGTCCCTGCGCGTGTCCCCAAATAGCACAGGTGATCGTTAGAAACTCAGGAAGCATTCGTTTTTCTAAATTCTTTATTAATAAGCGTAATCCACTCGAAAGGAATTCTTTTCCGGCGGCACAAAGGGGATTTCATGAAAGTACCTTTTGACCTGTTGTGGGAGTAAATTAAAGTTGCTCCGAATGCGAAGAATTCTTCCTTGTATCCGAATAAAAGACGTCAGAACCGGTGGCGCAATAAAAGCCACGAATTCTTCCTCGATTGCAAAGAATGTTTTTTAAAACAGAAGTGGGCTGGAAGAAGAATTTATTTCGTAATTTTGGGAATCGGAAAAGAATTCTTTCTCGGATTTTCCGTCGCTTGTCCTCACAACTCTAGGAAACGTACAACGTTTTTCTGAATACCATTCCTTTTTCTTTTTACATTAAATGATATTTATTGCAACCGGTGATAGACATTAAATCCGTATTTTCTTTCGTATTTTTCACGACGAAGCCTTAGCCGGCATATGTTAGATCTGTCCCCACCAAATGGCAGTTACGTAATATCAATATTAAAATTTCCTCTCAACATTATATAATAAGTACAACACACGTTGCATACCCATGTTGTATATTTAATTGCAGTATATTTATATGGTACACACTGTAAAAGAACTACGTGTAAAATTACAATTATTATAGTGGGGTAATGTTGGGACCATCTGTTAAAGGTGTATATTTACATACGTCAGTAAATTTATTCCTTGTAGGTAAAATTATTACCTCGTATAATAAGTAAACTGCTTGCTTTTAATTGTGTAAATTAAAATTTTTTTTGCAACTTTTTATCGTGTATAAACAAATATTTACACAACAAAGAGTAAAAGAACTTTTTTTTAAGTACATAAATTTATATATTTCCGTTATTAATAGTGTAATCACTGCACTTGTTACGTATGTAATTTTACATTCTCCTTTTACAGTGCATAACAGTTTACTGTTGAGCAGGAAATATTATAATATGATGTTATATAACCATTAGTTGGTGCTCGGTGGGTCAGATCGACGGCTGATCCTCCGCGCCGTGTTTCGCTGCGATCGTAATAATTTTTAGGGCGTAATGTCGAAAAGAAATCGATAGAAACGAAATACACTTCCTGCTCGCGCTTTCGCCGCAAATTAGCAGCCGGAGACGGCCATCGAGGGGCCGGGGAGGATCGATATTGCGGGCAGCGCCGGGTCAGGAACACTCGGATTATTAGGCAAAATTCTTTATTGATTACACTTTACAGTTACATTCTTTACTGGGTCGTGATAATCTGAAAAAGTTCGGTATCTCGTGAAATAAAACGCCATGCGCGGGAGAGCTAAGATGTATAATATGCGGCATTAATAATAAGTTTGGGTACTCTTCCTCTTTAATTGTACGGCAAATACACTCGCTCTTAGTAAAATGACAAAATTCACATAAATACGTCACGTTATTACACGCTATACGGGGGGGCGTAGCTCGTGTCCTGCGTACGTTTTGCGTCTCCGTGTGTACGTGTGTCCGTGTGTGTACGTGTACGTGTCTATTTTATTATATACGTATATATAAAGATCTAATACACGGGATAAAAACATCGTAAGAAACTAACACGTCGAATTACCCCTCGTCGTCAATGGAATCACGTGGATGTCCTCCACTTGGTGTCCAAAAGTTGAACTTTTTTTTTCCGCATTTTCCCGCACTCGCAATGGCGGAGCACCGTCGGAACAATTTTCTCGTCCCTGTTCCCCTCCCCTCTGCCGTCGAACGGACAAAATCGCCCCCTCCGTGCAATATCTCATGAGCGTTTTGTGCGTTCTTCGCAGGCAGGAAATTCGATCCGTCGTTTCGACGCGAGCGACGGGAAGGACGACTGGTCGCAACGGAGCATCCGGATGCGCCGACGATTCGTGGACATTTCGAGACCGGATGCGCACGAGAAGGAATTATACTTAGGTAAGTTATGTTAGAAACGTTTATACCTAAAACGCACGTGGCGTACGCATGGCGAAATTTCCGTTTGTCCGAAGGCGGAGATTTGAACGCGAAAGGAAGAACTGCTGCGAGCTAAGAGGTTGTCTTGTCTTAATCAACTTGAACGGTGATAATAAACACAGCTCTCAATAGGATTTCTCTTAACTGGGAAAAGCTCTTCTTTCGCAAATAAATCTTACAATCGCTTTGGTGAAAAATATATTACAAATGTCGGTGTATTTTCCGTGAGAAGAAGGAAAAGATAAATGAACGAGTCTTTTTAACGTACGCGGGAGTATGTAACTTTTGGACATAACAGTGTGCTTCTTGTAAAATTCGACAACTTTAACCAAACCGCCCTTAATTTATTTATCACGTGTTACTTGCTACTTTTGATTTTCTTCATGAAAATTTTTTTTATATATTACATATATGTATACAGGGTGTACTAAAACCACCGGATATCCTTTTAATCATAAATTCTATAGAAATTTTCAAGACAAAAATTCTAATACAAAAATGTCGAGGCTATAATAGTTTTTAAATAATAAGCGATTACACTTCACAAATGACAGGCCTGCGATTTCGCGCGCTCAGGTACGGCGACACGACAAGTGATAAAAATGTTCCTACGAATATCGCCCTTTTTAGCATAGTGACAACTTTCACAACAGACTTAACGATTCATTCTCGAATTAATTGTTCCTCTTGTTATCTTTAACCATTTCTTTTGTTAA